AGACATCCCGCTGTGCCACTGGGGGGCAGATTTTAAGTAAAACATGTTTTTAAATAGAATGTTTACAAGGCTAAAAACAAAAATACTCTGATCACTTTAATAACACTGAATAAACCCCAATCAGATTTTTCTATTCTTTAAAGTATGATTGAAAATACATGTTTACAATATAGACAAAAAATTTTTAATGGGTTTTATAGCAACCATTATTTTCGGGTTCTGATTTATTTTGTTTGAAAAGTAAGTGAACATTTTTATAGAGGAGGAGTACCTTGTTAAGTGCTCCAGCTCCTGTCAAAATTATGTGGGAATTTTCAACCTGAATCACTCTGCTGCCAAGTCGAACCAAGTAAGTTCCGATACCAATGGTTCGACACGTAACCTAAGTAAATAACATTAACCCATCAAATCAGGGTAATCAATATAAATGTGAAGAATATTTTATAGGTAAATTCTCATGATAATAATCAATTTAAAGTGGTTTTAATAGACGATTGCATACATTATCCTGAAAGAAAACTTTTTTACAGCACCTATGTTGATGTTAAAACAACACAATGTGAAACACAGTGCTGTATTGTCTTGCAATTTTAAAGGTTTCAAAATAAATGTTATAACTTTTAATAACTGATTGATAACCCAGAATTCTGTAATAAAAAACTTTCTAATCTTGTTTGTTTTTTGTTATAAGTTTGTGTGTTCAACGTTTGCTTTGAATTATGCTGTACGACATCTTTTATACAAGTGCACATGCACTGAAAAAGAATCTTATAGAAGAAATGTGTGCAATGGTTAAATAACAATTTGTATAAAATTATATAAGGAATTATGAAGGAAAGAAAAACCAAAGGAAAAAATTCACAGACAAAACTTATGAAGAGTCAGATATATGCAGATAGAGTAAGTGCATGTAGTATAAAACTGCACGATACTATAGGTATCGTTTAAATTGAAATACCTGCCAAGGTAATGGTAGGGATCATTATTTATGATGATAGAAGAAGTCAAAAAATAATCGAAGAGATGTCATAAATATGACAAATGCATCAAGAAAGTTAATTAGAAGTCATGAAAAAAGTAAATTGTAGCTGAATAATTAGAAAATAACAACACATATATAGAAGTGATAATAGCTGTTGGTCTATGCATGTACTCCAATAACAAAATATGTCTGATGACAATGAATAAACATTACTATAATCTCAAAATAAATTAACAAGATCTTGATAAATAATCCACTTCAAAGAAATTTGTCAAGTTATTTAGAAAAATTTTCTCAAGTACTGGGTAACAATTCTAACAAGTTTTATCTTTTGAAATTAAAACAAGATTTATAAAAAAAATCTTTCCTGTGTCATCCTCAATTTCAACAGAGAGAGATAATTCATGCTATCCATGCATGCATGCAAAAAGAAAACAACTTACCATGGATTAACTTATTTTTAACTCAAAAGATGCACCTTTCATAAATTTAATAGGAATTCATTTGTTTTTTGTCATCATGCATCATGTTCATAAACTACCATTAATGAATAAAAAAATACATAACTATAATTCACAAAATTAGTTTCAACTCACTTTATGAGGTTTCTGTATATCTTCTTACATGATCAGTTACTGGTCAACTAGACACTTTCACATTTTATCATATGATAATTAATATTTAAAATCTAAAACACTGAATAATGGGTGAGATAGTTAACAAATAAAGCAACACTGACAAAGTTACTCATTATTCCACATCACTGAAAGATATGCCATAATCCTGAATTCTAAATATTTAATCCCAAAACATTAATTTCTTGCAATTATTCTTTTACTTTTACTTCACATACTTTGGCTAGTAAATATTAAACTTTCAAACACAATTAAAAGCATGAAAAAAACCCTAAAAAAATCTAATATTAGTTGGTAATAACTCAGATTATGGATGTAAGTTACAGTAATAAGTTGCAGAAAAATATTTGATTTTAAACAATCTGAAATACCTGTCAACTGACGGGGAATGTTTAAACTTAATTAAAACAATGTAAGTTTAACAGCAATCATACATTTCAAAGTAATAACTTGAACATATACTTTATCTCAAAATTTTAACAACATGCAAAGTAATTTTCATTTTAAGATTAGAAATACTTTTGTGCATCAGAAAATTTTCAAATTTCACATGCAAAATCTTTATAATGTCCAAATAGTTATCAAAGGTTTCTTGAGAAAATCTTTATATTTTATCTGTTATTTTCAGTAATGAATCTCTGTATAGATTTGGTCGATTTGACCGATCTCATAACCACATTAAAAAAATTACAAAATAAATCTGAATTATGCCTTTTTCATTTCAGAATGGCTACAGATTATAACACGAAAACATAAATGTTTTGACTAAATAGCTTAAGTCTCACAACATTATACATTTATATATATATTTATTATATTGACCTTTCAGCCATGCCTGTCAAACAATACAGACGTTACAATGACGCGATGCATGTGCACTCACGTAGACCAATCTCACAACCACGTTAGAAAAAAAAGAAAATAAATATAAATTATGCCTTTTTCATTCTAGAATGGCTACAAATTATAGCACGAAAACATAAATACATCTATATATATATATATATATTTATTATTTTTATTACCCTGACATTTCAACCATGCCTAGCCAACAATACAGAAGTTACAATGACGTGGCACATGTGCACTCATGTTACAGTGTCCAATAATATAAAACTGACCTTTAGTCTTTACAAAGTGACCTGTCTTGGCTGTGTTTTAGTAGACTAGTATTTTGTAAAATACAGTCACATTTTAATTATTACACATTATATATATGTATATAGATTATTGCTATTTAGAAATAAGTTCTTAAACTTACTTTTCTTAAAACTTAAAACAGTAAATGAAGAAGTAAAGCAAACAATTATCTCTTCTAGTTACGACCTTTGTACTTGGGTTGCTGCTTGATGTAGATTATTAAGCCTTTTAAAATTTTGCATGTGAAGGATATGAAACGAAATAATTTTTTTGCTTTTATATATACAGTTGAATAAGCAAAAAATCATAAATTACTATATCAATACCATAGAGTTCCACTATAATTTATCAAGCTTAGTAACTAAGCTGTATTTCGGCCAGATGGTTAGAATGCTCAACTCCCAACTTGAGGGTCATGGGTTCGAATCCCCGTCTCACCAAACATGCTTGCCCTTTCAGCCGTGGGGGTGTTATAATGTGACGGTCAATCCCGCTATTTGTTGGTAAAAGAGTATCCCAAGAGTGGGCGGTGGGTGGTGATGACAAGCTTCCTTACCTCTAGTATTACAATGTTAAATTAGAAATGGCTAGTGGAGCTTTCGAATAGTTATTCATGTCATATATAGAAGTAAATGTATATAAGGGAGCATTTCCAAAAATGGAAATACGTGGGCAGGGTACCACTGTGTTTGATTTATTACATGAGCAATATCTT